GGTGTCTTGTTTTCGTATGTTCCAGTGGCGGATTTCCGATTTACAGTGGTTCCGCATTTTACGAAATGCCACCTCATCTTCTGTCCCTGTGGTCAACTTTTTGAAAAAGAGTTTAGATCTTCTTTCCAGAAGTCGCTGAATCCGTTTTGGCAACCTGCGGTTCATCCGAGTGTGTGCCGGATTTTGGGGGTCCAACGTTGCGTCAGCCTCGTGAACTGTCTGGACAATTGTCATATATAGTTCTTCCACCAGGGCTGGTCCCAGTGTGACTTGTTCAAGGAAGATGCGCATTCCCGAGAAGTCCGCACGACAGAAGTCTCGAAACCAACGGCAGAAGTCTCGAAACCACGTTTGAGGTTCGGGATTTCTGGCCCAGTAGCAGATGAAATCAAAGGTCAGCACACAGTGGTCGCCATGTCCCAGTGGAGCGTTACCTGATCAACGAAGTGTCTTTCGTTGGTGATGGCCAAATCCAGGAGGGTGGATATTTGGCCTGCTCGGTATCTGGCGGGTGAAACGATATGTTGGGTCCAAGCGCTCTGGTGAACGACTTCAAACAGCGCTGCTGCAAAAAGTCCGCCTGATTCGACGCGCTGGATTTCCATCCAGGAGGTTTTCAGAGCGTTGAAATCACCTACCAGCAGGAGATGTTGAGCTGCAGTCGCTCTTCTTTCGCGTTTGTGTGGACACCCGATCCGCCGGCGATCAGCGTGGCCAACTGGATGTACGAAGAATATTCCTGATGGCTGTAGTCATGCTTATGCCTTTGGCTGTCGGGGTCCTGGGCGACGGTTGTGTCCACAAGCAGAGAGGCAGCTTTTGACGTAGTGGAGCCGGAGGTTGGCTTCGCTGCTTGTCCCCGCACACCTGAATCGGTACAGTTCAGAGGCTGTGGCTTTTCTGAGGTGTGCATGGCTGCTGTTGTGTTGTATGTTACCGAGATAAGGGTTGATAGCTCCACATACTTCGGGCGCTGCTTGCATGTGAGGTTTGCCTTCTCCATGGCATCAATGCCTTTGATGGGCGAGAGACCAGTGGTGGTCGAATAGAAACTGCTGTCCGGGGACGCAGCTGATTTCCTCGGCCTGCTTTCGGGAGCACAACGGGATACGACGACAATCGGTTTGGTCATGAGTTTGTGGTCGGCTGAATTGGTGCCCAGCGGAATTCAGTCCCGTGCATCCACTTCTGATCTGTTGCGCCCGAGCTTTCGCGTGTCTAGAGGGCAATCCTCAGATAGACGCCTGATCATTGTGTTGGCCTTATGAATGCTGCCAGCCTGCTTCAAGTTCTTCTGTACGTCGGATGGAGAAGAAAGACTGACGAGAAGTCCAAGAGTTCGTTTGCTTCGCTTCTGGCCTAACCATTCTACGTGGAGCGATTCGTCAGGCTTGGTGAGGATATTCCTAAGGATCGATTGTGCCAGCTTCGCTGGCGTGATTTTTCCGGAGAATGACCCCCATATTATCAATATGCTTTTCCGTAGGCGACTGGCCTCTAAAGACGCGTCAGAGAGTTGTATTACTTTCTTCGCAGTAAGAGGGCCCGATATGTTATCGCGAGGTACTTGTTCAGTAGTAATGTCCATTTGCGACGCCAGCACCTCTTCAAGTGTTTATTATACTGCACTCTGAGTTCTGCCACCACGTTAGCCGGTAACGAACATCGATGCCGTTCTCTGAATCGACCAGTTTTATCACCATACGTTGCGCCCCCATTTTTCATCCCTCTTTTGCACATTTTCTAAACTGTAGCTCTCCATATTGTGGATGCGGCCAAGTCAGTATGACTTGTGCCCCACCGCCAACGATGTACCGAACCACAGAATGATAGCATCTCACGTTTTTGGGTAAGACGCTAGTGGATTCCGCGTTGGATAACACACAACGCTTTCATGATTTTTCATCAATGCAGCAAAATAAAAGCCCTTCAGTAACGCATGCCGGAGGTGTAGGAGTCACGTCAGCAGAAGCGCAAAACGATCAGTTTTGACTACTCTCCATCGCCAGTCTGGGATTGTGGAACTCGAAGTAGTGCTATACTCAAGGACTCACGGGCTGACATGTAAGCTTTGGTTCCGTCCACCTATTCTTGTTGGACGCAGCGTCATTCCTTTCAACTACTTTTTTCTATCCTCGACTGCCCCTCTGGCCCGCTCAGGATTTTAGGTGCAACCACAAACAGAATGTTAATTTGGCCCCAACCCCCTCTGGGAAGAGGTCGTTCTAACTCACTGGAACCTTAGTTCAGCGTTAACCATTCCGGTTTTCCGCCAAAACTCCGATTTGCCCCTATCACAAGTTGAACGATTTTATTTATGTTGCTC